ATAAAAAGTGGAAAAGAAGAAAATGAGGGGGAAAAAAAAGAGTCAAGGTAAAGATGAATGATAAATTAAGAGGTTAAATAACCAATTTATAAGCTAAAATTTCCAAGCTGGTTTTTTACTGCTGGAATCACTGTTACCGCTCAACGACTGTGTTGATGAAGTTGTTGGATCTCTTTTGTTACGCGACAACAGCTGTCGAGACGGTGAAGCACGTTTACGATCCTCTAAATTAAACGAACGTTCCGCATCCGATGGGCTCAATAAAATTCTGAAATTATGAATGAAAAAAAAAAAAAAACGGGAAAAAAACGTTGACAGGAAGTGCTTCGTGATAAACTTTTTAATTATTTATTGAAATTACATATATGATTGCTGTTCAGATTAGCTGTTTTTTTTTTTCTTTTTAGTAAATAAATAAATTACAAATTGAAACCTTTTTTCATCTTTATTTTTTCCATCAACGCTAAACGTCTTTAGTTTTGATGGACTTCGGTCCCTAGATCGCGTTGTTACGGCAGGAGATTTGGCTCGTGTATTTGTTGGGATTGATAGGCTTAAAATCGACATTTTCAAAAGAGCAATGTTTAACTTCAATTATTTTCCTAGGCTGCCGTACCTATCTTCGTCTCTTTAACGCTTTCGCAAATTTTTGCTATTTGGGAATCGACACTACAGCGGCATTTCGAGTTTCCCTGCTTCTTTTCTTTATAAAAATACCATTTGAAATGAATAACTTATGTACAGTACAAACTCGATTTTATGAACACAATGATGCAATTTGAAAATGTTCGGTTATGAGGCAAAAGTTTATTTTATTACTAACGGCTTGTTAAAAAGTTTATTCAGAATTCATTCCTGATTTATACCATTTTTAGTTTCCTTTTCATAGAATTAAGCTCAAAATTTTACCTGTAAACTGAAATGACACAAAAATTTTATCTTACGTACATATAAAGTTACAATGACCAACCTTGGCTTTTCTTTTTCTTTTCTTGGTTTTATGCTATCTTTTTTTTCACTACTTTTTGCCGTTTCATCGCTTGGCACTGCTTCTGTATTATCAGCTCCATTCATCGTACTGTCGCTATCAGCGTCTTTGGTGTTCTGAAGAAAAGAAAGAAGGCAAAAAACTTGTTGTGAAATTACTGATTTTGAATAAATGATGATGTGTGCAGACTTTTGGGCTTTGTTTTGAGCTGAACTAAATTTTTTAACTTCTACTAAGTTCCTGTAAAGATAGAGAAGAAACCAAAACAAGGATTGGAAAGGGTATTTTTCTACAGAAGTTGTATTGAAATTGTTTGTGTTATTTCATTTAACCGACCATGTTACAGTAAAAAGAAAATAATCAAGTAATTTGAGTGAACAGTATTGACAGATTTTCGTGCCATATATCACTTTTTTACCTGGTTTTCTCTTTGTTTGAAATGATCTTTTTTATGGCTTATGAACTGACTTTTTGAGCTAAAATCTTTTTCCGTCTTTGCTTTTTCCGTCAATGTTTCTACGGTTTAGTTTGGCCGTCTTAAAAGGTTTAAAAGGTTAAAAGAGTATGATAGATATTTGTCACAGTCAGCTAACAGTTTCTTGATCAGCGATTATCTGATTAGTTTTATAACATATTGTTAAGTTATATTCAATAGTTTTTTGCTTACCATGTAAGTATTACTGTTTTTTTTTTTTTTTGTTGTTATTTATAGCAACTTCTGGATGTAGCAGAAATGTCAAGCATCAATACTTTTCATAATAAACAATAAAGCAAAATATATTTGTAAGAGGTTTATCAGATTTACCTTTTTATTGACATTAGTTTTTTCATTCGATAACTGATTCTCATTGATTTGTGACTGCGTTTGCTCCTTCTGCCGTTGCTGCTGTTGTAAATCATTAGAAACAGATGCCGTTGGTGCTGCTGCTTCATTGTCAGCAATTTTGTCATTTCTGAAAGACGGTATAACTTTTCAGGCAACTGAAATCAGTGTGTGTCGATGAGCTTGAAAAAACAATGTTTTTCCTCCAATTCAGTGATGTTTCGTTACAATGGAAGCGCACAGTAAGTTTTTGAAGACCGACTAACTTTTTTGCCAACTGCGCTTCCAAATTTTTAATTTTTTCTAATAGTTCTGCCTCATGTTCCTTCATTGCTCCAGTAATTTTTTCATGTTCTTTATTCAAGCTTGCTATCTTTTTCTCGAGCGCCTGTGCTTGTTGTGTTCCTCGTTTTCTTAAAAAAAAAAAAAAAGAAACATGATAATCACCAAAAAAATTTTTTTCTTAATTAGAATTGTAAAAGCTTTTTTCTATCTGTCTTACAAAAAATTAATTTCTTTCTTTAGTAGTGCTGTTGAAACAAGCAAACAAAAAGTAAAAGAATAGCAAGATAAGATTCAGGTAGATTTTACCAGAAGTAACCACTACTCATTCATTTAAGTAAGTGTTTTCCTCCTATTTATTCCCAAATTCGTCTAACAGAATAAAATTTGAATTGTAATGTTCAAGAGGAAAGACGAAAATCTTCATACCAATTAAAAATTTATATTTTTTAAAAAAATATATGTTTCTGTGAAGGAAAAGTGGAATGGTAAGTAAAAAACCGAAAAAAAGACGAGAAGGAAGAGAATTAGGAGGACAACATATTAGAGGAAGAACGGAGGAGGAATAAGGGAAGCGGAGGAAAGTAGGAAGGTGAGAAGAGGGGGAAAAACTTAAGCTCATAGATTTACCGCAGGTATTCATCCGTTTTCTTGCTGAAATTTCTAATTTCTGCATTTTTATTATCCAATTCCATCCGAATTGTTGACATTTCTTTCAGCAACTCTTCGATTTTTACGTTCAATTCATCGATTTGTATAGATTTTTCTTCGCTTTCTTTTTTGATCATTTTTATCTCATCACGAAGTTCTTCATTCTAAAATTATTTAAATTTTCTTTTTTCGGTGCTGTAGTAGATTCAGCATGCCTTTTTTTGTTGCTCTAAACTAATTTTGATACTTTGGCCATCATTTTGTAGGCAAAAAAAGAAAAATTCAGCAATATATTAGTGAGTGCACAACGAAAAAAAAATTTTTTTTGGTAACTGGTTGGTGATAAAGAAATGGCATTGAAGCCTTAGCGAAACAAACGGGCATAAGTCTAATAAAGCAAACCTTTTTATCTGCTTCATCAGTTAACTGTTGGATTTTACCTTCATATTCATCAATAATTTTTGTTGTCTCCTCTTCAATTCGTTTAGAAAAACGTTCTTCAAATTTTTCTAAATAAAATATAAGCAAAAAACAACAACAACAAAAAAAAAAAAAAAAAAAAAAAAA